CTCACCACCACACTCTATATCCCCCTCATCTACATCATCTCCTTCACCTGTAATCATCTACATCATCTCCTTCACCTGTAATCATCAGTGATACTCAGAATTTATTTGCTGATTTACCTATTGAAGAACATGATACTCTTGCTTTTGTTCCTTCTAACATGGCTGCAGGTACTCACCCCATTATTACAAGATCTAAGCTGGGAATTTTTAAACCAAAGACTTTTGCCCCAAAGGTTTTTCCTGCCATTGAGCCATGCAACTACAATGCAGCCAAATCACAACCCTTATGGGTATCTGCCATGGAAAAGGAATAGAGTGCCTTAATTAGAAATGGAACCTGTACTCTTGTTCCCAGGCCTTCTGTCAAGACTGTGGTAAGTTGTAAATGGGTCTACAAGTTAAAAACAAACTCAAGTGGCTCCATCTGTAGACACAAAGCCAGACTTGTTGCTAGGGGCTTCACACAAACCTTTGGTCAGGATTATGATGAAACTTTTAGCCCTGTTGTTAAACCTACCACAATCAGACTCATTTTCACTTTGGCCATCTCAAAATCTTGGTCTTTGAGGCAGTTGGACTTTGATAATGCATTTCTCAATGGTCAGCTTACCAATGAGGTCTATATGGAACAACTTACAGGTTTTGTGATTCAGGGTAAAGGTGACTATGTCTGCAAACTGTACAAGGCTATTTATGGCCTCAAGCAAGCCTCTAGGGCTTGGTTTCATACTCTTCATAGTGCTCTTCTGGGTTTTGGCTTCCAATCTTCAAAGGCAGACTCATCTTTATTCTTCAGATTCACTGCTCATTTTTGCATCATACTATTGGTTTATGTTGATGATGTGATACTCACTGGGAGTGATGTTTCAGAGATCAATTCCTTTATTCACAAACTCACCTGCTTGTTTTCTCTCAAGGATATGGGCGCTCCACATAAATTTCTTGGCATTGAAGTCACTGAGGTTTCAGATGGCCTGCATTTCAAACAATCACAATATATCAAGTCTCTTCTCACCAGGTTGCATATGCTTAAAGCAAAAGGATTAGCAACACCAATGGTTTCTTCACCTCATTTATCTAAGCATTGATGAGACTGCCTTGCCTCATGCTACTCAATACAGAAGTATTGTAGATGCACTTTAGTACATTGTCAGTACAAGGCCTGATATAGCCTACAGTGTGCACAAGGTGAGTCAATTCATGCAATCACCCTCTGATATTCATTGGAAGGCAGTCAAGAGAATCCTTCGATATTTGGCAGGTAATATGGAACATGGCTTACATCTTGTGCCCTCTAAAACCTTAAGCATCACTGCCTATTCAGATTCTGATTGGGGGGAAAATGTTGATGACAGAAAATCCATCTCAGGCTATTGTGTCTTTCTTCGGCAGAATCTTGTTTCTTGGTATTCAAAGAAGCAACTCTCGGTTTCTAGATCCAGCACTGAGAGTGAATTCAGGAGCATTGCTCATGCTTTATGTGAGGTCAGTTGGATACAATCCATACTATCAGAACTTAGGATTTCCTCCTCAAAACCACCTTTATTGTGGCCTGACAACCTTAGTGCAGTTCATTTGTCTCTTAATCCGGTTTTGCATGCTCGAACAAAACATGTGGAAATTGATATTCACGTCATCAGAGACAAGGTTTCTTCTAATCAGGTCACAATTCAACATATTCCTGGTTATGAGCAAATTACTGATATTTTTACTAAACCACTATCCAAGCAATTCTTCACCCGGTTCAGAGATAAGCTAAATGTTCTTCCTCTTACCCGGTTCGAATTGAGGGGGCGTGTTAGAGTGGCAACATCAGACGTGCCATGTCATCAGTTAGCCTTGCCACGTCGTCCACTGTCACCAAGCAAGGAAACCAACATGGCCATGTATAAGACAAAAGAGAGCAATGGCTCTCTGTCCTTTACCAAATGAGCTGGGAGCATCTTTTTGATTTTTTGTCCCTTATGTAGTCCTTTTCAATTCTTATCCTCTAAGTCTCTAGATAGATCCATTCTAGGATATATATATATATATATATATATATATATATATATATATATATATCGTCATCGTTCTCTTTGTTCTGTATGTAGAAAATGCAATCACCATTATCAATGAAAACATATTGCAGCTTTTCACTTACCTTTTCCTAACAGTTACACTCATATATATTATAAAGTAAATTAGTGAATTGTGTATTCATACATATTAACTAATACAAATATATCATTACATAAACTATTATAAGCATATGTGGTTGAATATAATTTTTTAGCTGAGAATTGAACGCAAGCCATTTCCCGAGAGCCTTGTCACGAGCCTTCTTCTTCATCTTTTTTAGCCGAGAAAGGTACCGATGGCTGAGCACTTTTACACTATTTTTAGGGCCAAAATATGAGCTTAGTCAGTTTTAAAAAGAGTTATGATGGCATGCTTTGGTTTAGTTATAAATGAAGAGAATTAAGAGAGCTTGTTTTTGGTGTTTTGGCATTGAATTATCTTATCCCTATTTTTGTGTGTTTAATGCTGAATTTATGTGTTAGTTTCAGAGGTACAAGTTCAGCTATGAGGCCTTATAAAGTGTTGCATGAATTTGAGAAAAAGAAAAAGAAAAGAGAAGCATAG